AGTGTAAGTGCGATTGGTAGTTTACAGTAGCCAATTAGACATCACGTAATCGACCAATAGATCAAATCGAAGTGCAAGAGTGATTGCTAGTGTACAGTAGCCAATCAGACATCATGTAATCCACCAATAGCGTGCAGCCACTCTCATTGGTTGCTGTATAATTATTCTAACGTCATATTTTTTATAATTTTATATTTTTTGGTAGTTTATTAACAAATTTATTGTTGTAATTATTTAAATTTATTAATTTTTTTTAACTTAATCTTGCAGATATGTTGCAAAATGATTATTCATTAATATACATATATGTATATATCGTGAATTATATAATATAATATAATGGGAATAATATGATGGAATATAGGAGATTATTATATTTGAAATAACACAAAAGCACAATAACTTTTAAAACACTAAATGAATTTATAATTTAAGAAAAACGACTTCGAAGGACCTCTTTGAATAACTATATTTTATACGTGAAAATTATAATATCAGAGAAATAATAACAAAGAAATACATGGATTTTATTTTGTTAACATGCATAGATCTGATAAAAATCGAGCGGTATCTTTTTCCTTTGCTCTTGCAACAAATATTGGTATTCATATAATAAATCAGCTGCAAACGTAAAAAATAATAATAATCATAAATAAATTTAATATTACTTTTATTATATATAATCTGTTGTATTATTTAACCCTTTTATTCCCTTTCCTGCAATTTTCTTCAGATTTATTTTTTTTTCCTTACTAGGGCCTAATGATACCTTATATTTCATCAAAGTGTATACGCTACTGAGGACTTCTACGGATAGCTTACTGCGCATGCACTGAGACTGCCCAACACTGATCTAGGAATATAGGGATGAAATGTGCGGATGGATTGTCAACCGGAGGGGTAATAAAAGAAGGGGATCCTAATAACCGAGGTCTGAAAGTGATTGGCTGTTTGTCTGCGCATGTTTTGTTAAGACAAGTACAAATGGCTAAATTTTGAGTAAAATTATTTAAATTTTTTAATACAAACTTTATTATTTGTGAAGACATAATCTCTACTAATTTATTATATCTGTAGAATAATTCAAATGGGCGAAACTTCGAAATACTATCATGTTTAAATTTAGGCCCAATGTTATTCCCTATATTGCCGACTGAATATAGTGCACTAAGCGAGCTGTTTTAAACACATTATCCCCATTTTCAGACCCACGGGATATATCTTAAACAGCAGAAAATTAATATTAATAAATATTTGGTATATTAATCGATAAAATCGATGATAATTGCATTTTTTTTAAATTCAGGTGGCGCCATCTCTCCGGTGAACAGGATGAATTACACACTTTTGAATCTCTACTTCTATTAGTTCCTCACACTGCCACTAGACGGCGCCGTTGTTCCATTTCGTAAAAAAGATTAATATTAATTTTATTGATTAATATGCTATATACTTATTATACATTTATTAATAATTAATTTTATGCTGTTTGCAATATATTCCGTGGGTTCGAAGATATGGATTATATTTTCAGAATAATTCGCTCACTATATTATACTTCGTCGATGAAATAGGGGATGATATAAGAATGGTACAAAATTTTTTTTCAAGTCACCAGAAACTATTTTCACAAACATCTCTTTTTACAAAAAAAGAACTTATTGGCAAAATTTGATCGGTGTGGGAGTATAAAGGTTTACCTGAATTATTTAATTCTTCTACAGCAGCCCTTATATGAAGAACATCCACATTGCTCCTAAATATGTATACACAGACCATGGCACATATACATTCTACTCATAATTCAATTGTCATCTTTTCACTCCAAAACTAGAACCTCTAAAAAATTCTTTGTGTCACCTAACTGTCATCCACCACAACCCCAATTTCTTAACCCCGCACCAACCTTCGGCACTCAACCCCGTAACCTTCTAACCTTCTCTAACCTTCAGAACCTATCCATTCCATCCCCATAATGACGTGCTTCGGCGGCCGTAACGAGCAAATCTACATGGTGGAAATGCTGGTGCACAAGTTAACCCTCACAAAGAACAAGATAAAAGACATAGGCGAGTACCCCGTGGGTGTCAAGATCAAGTTTCTCGACTTCCCCGTGTTCGAGATAACCCGTGAAGACTTTTATTCCATGAAACCCCCGCCACCGGAAGAAGATGGCACCCTGCACTTCATGATCGGCCGAAGCTGCGTGTTCGTGAAGCAGCCCATGGAACTCGTGAGGGAATTGCAGTCCACGAAGTTGATGGTAGGCGTGTTTCGAATCGGAGACACTTATCCAATCGCGGAAACGGAAATTATGTTGCCGGGATGTTTGTGTGATCAAGTGGCCATGGCGCAGAACGACGCGGAGCATCTACCAAAGCCGTTTATGGTGAAGGGAAGTTACAACTTGAGGGATCCTGGCGACAATCCATCGGGCACCATAGAAATGGAGATACGAATGACGTGTCTTGGTCGAGCGATTTTGACTCATTACGAGCTGCACCCTACGTTCTTCGCGTTCAGGAACGAGGGTAAGGAACGAGAGTTCTGCGTGAGGCGTCTGGTGCCTCCCAGTTTGCAGCCAGAGGGCGCTGAGAAGGACATCTCGCAGTACCCCGACAGGACGACTTTGGACGAATTGAAGGGGATAAAAAGAGAGTCGAAGAAGGGCAAGCAAAAAGGGAGAAAGAGCAAAGCAAGAGCCAAAAGGAAATAATTAGACCACGCTGTATATGATCTTTCATCGCTATAGCAACTGCAATCGATATATCAGACATGGAATTGACAGGTTCCGTTCGTTGGTGCGGTTAGATTACACTTCTTGGTCGTAAAACAACAAAATTAATGGCACGTTCCGTTTCTTTCTGAAAGCAAGCTCCGTTTCATCTAAATTCCCGTGCAGAGAACATCAAATAGGAGTTCAAATGGCGTTAAAGAAGAAGGCCACGAAAGTGCAAGAACAACTTTATATGCTCGAGGTGATGATCGATGGAATAACCTTGAATCCTGAACGAGGCGTTTCTGAGGATCTGATCGTTCGCGTGAGGTTCACCGATCTACCGGAATGCGAGATATCGGTTCCTAACAAGAACATCGAAAAGGAGGATGCTAGTCCTAACGAATTCGGGTACGGAAAGACTTGTTTGTTCAGCAAAACGCCCAGCTGCCTGATCAGAGCCATGCGATGGTCGCCGCTGTATTTGGATGCGTATCGTTTAGAGCCCACCTGCCCTACGAAAGAAAATCAAACTTTCCTGGGTACAGCGAGGATATCCTTGCCCACCTGTATGTGCAACCACGTAGCCAAAACCCAGAAAGAAAGCACACCAACCTCCACGCCGTGTGTAGTGAAAAAAACGTTCGACCTGATCGGTTCCGAAAGCGAAACAATTGGCAGGGTATCGGTGGTCCTCAGATTGTCCTGTTTCGGCAGCTCGATCGTCAAACAGTTCTCTTTGAACGAGAAGTCCTTCGTTCTGGAGGATTCGCCGCTCCAGAAATTCCTGTGCCCTTATCTGACTCCCGAAGGTAAAAAGGATCCAAAGGATGAGAATGAACCTTTGCTGAAAAGGCCGGATTCTCCTCCGCGAATTTCGATGGACGATCCCGCCTTCAAGACCCTGACCTCCGCCGAGAAATTAAACGACCCGAAGTACAGAGAGTTGGTGTACAAAACGTATCCCGACCAGCCAACGTGTTGCTGTCTTCCACCGAATCGTACGACGCATCCCATGAAGTGTCGGTCGGGTTGCACTCGTCCCTGCTGCATGAAGCTGAGGAACCCAAAAATTTTGGACACGCAGAAAGACAGACACGTGGACGACGCATTAGCTAACACGTACTGCGTGAATAAACCTCTGCGGTTGCTAGATCAGTATACTCCTCGCAGCAACCAGAGTCGTCTGAGAGGCGGCGCTGATGTGGAGCAGCTTTACATAGGCCCGTCCACTATAAGATGGAACGACGACGCGGACTACAGCTGGTACAAAGAGAAACCTAACCAGGAAAGTCGTATGGAAGGCGGAGGAGAAATCCAATTTTCCAGCTGCAGCTGTTCTGGTAGCCCGACGGCGGTTCCACTCCGTTCGACCTCGTCCAAAGACAGAGACGTGGTAACCACTTTCGACGCTTGTCAGCCTCGCATCACGTCGACTGGGCCAAAGCCCACTTGCCCTTGCCCGGGTAAAGAAGCATCGTCGTGGCCCAGGGGTGCAGCTAGGTGCATGAATAAACCCTGCATGGGGATCGACTGCTTGATACGAGCCTTCGAGGAAGCTCAGGAGTTCGTCAACTCCATTGGCAAAGTGCCAGGCATGCGCGGACTCGGCCTGATGGACCCCTCGGAGAGCCCCTACTTCGGCAGGGACATCGACAAGGACTACGTGACCCAGGAACCTGAGGCGCAGAAGAAAAAGCCAGGGGCTCAGCAAAGAGCGGACGCTCCTAGATGCACCGCTCCTTGCAGCCTGAACATGGGCAGACCCGACGACGGTCAGGCCCGGATAGGTGCACCCTACACACCTACCGCCACTGTTGGACTACCAATACCGCCTCGACTGGGAATCGTACGGGAAGCTATACCCGTTTTACCGGAAGTCGCCTCGGTGGCTGGGACCGGGAAGCACAAGAAGGCGCACGAGAAGAGGGACGAGAAGACGGACAAGTTCGACCCCAAAGTCCCCCCGTTGACAGACACGGAGGTGGGTCCCTGCGGCGAACCCAAGTGCAAGTCAAGGAGAAAGAAGCCTGCGGACACTATGAGTCTCAACCAAAGCGAAAACATAACCTTCAGAATGAAGGCCGATGTGAAAAAACCGAAGTCGCGAAATCGCAAGAAGAAGGAAAAAGGGAAAAGAGGTCGTCGCGAAAATAATCCACAGAGTAGTGCGCTCAGCAAAACCGGTATGAAAGTCGGAGGCTCAGGTCTGCAGGGTAAGATTGATCCCAGAGATAGCGAGAAGATGATGCGCAAAATGGGGCCAGTGGGACCTGGCGGTGATCTGTATTCTGGCATGCCACTCAACGTCAGCAGGAAAGTAATGCGGTATGTTTACTTTGTCGGTGACTATTATCCGGGAATAGTGTACGGGCACAAGGACTGCATCCAGATACCTATGAGAGTTCCAGCGAATATGGGCTGGCTATGGAACACCATGACCACAGCGGGAAAACTGAAGCCGCGTATCGGGTGGAAACCTGGAGCGATCGGTCGGTACTTGTACGAAATGCTGCAGGAGGCGAAGGAGATCTCGTTGGCCGACCAGGACTCCACCACGAGCCTAACCACGAGGACAACGGACAAAACTAAGAAGACAGATCGTGGAAAAGGAGCTGCAGAGCGCGGTAGGGCGAAAATGACGAGAGGAAGAATGGGAGCTGACAGGGGCAGGATGGAGCGTTCAAGAATCGGACCTGAACGAACCAGATCGGCACCCTCGCGAGGCAGAGCCTCTCCAAGGAGGCGGGACGACAAAACTAGGGGCTTCCAGACCATTCAGCAGATGAAGATGGAGGGCGAGGACGAGGACATTGAAGCTCCGCCGACTTTGCACATCCACAGGAAAGATGGCACTTATTATGTGACCATGTACCCAATCAAGCAGGAGACACCGGGTGAACCACGTGTGACCGAACCGTCGAAACCGCTTCAGTTCAAGATCGTGAAGAACAAGGACGATGCGTCGGTCGCCTCCAGTTCCACGGCCTCCGACATGGAAATCGAATTTTCACCTCCTGCGGCGGTCAGCAGATACCGCAAAAAGCCGGACGTTGTTCATATCGACACGCAAGTTCGACAGCAAGAGATCTTAGATGCGGTTAGGGTGGACACCACTAGAAAGGGGGGCAGAAGGAAGCACGACCCTGTGGAGTCTAAGATGGACTCTGCTAAAAAGAAAGATAAAAAGGAGGATGAAGCTGCGAAGAAAGATAAAATGAAAAAAGACAAGAAAGGTAAAAAGTAATGAGGATTAATGATTATATAAAGATTTCTATTATTTAGGTTTCAAAATATGTATCTTTGAACAAGTGATACAATATAAAGACATTGTACGAAAAGTAGATGTTTTTAGGAAGAACTATCAAGTGAAATACAATGATCTACGAAGTCGAGGAATATTACCGCACCTTATCTGACAAATAATAGATTGATTTATTTGATATTTGCCGCGACTTATATCTGAACTGCGCAGTTAGTCCGGTGTTGGCTGCGGCATCTTTAGGTGGTCTGGCTGGCTCACTAACAAGGTTACCGACAGGAGTTAAACAGTTGAAAACCGTGTAAACGTCACTTGCATAATCTTTGGAAGAAATGGATGTCAAGGCACAGGAAGAGCAAAATGAAAATATACGGCAACGAATGCTCGATGTGAAACAACTACGAATAGCAGAATGTCCTTCAGACTCACCGTGGGTCAGACCTGTTCGAATACATTACCAACAAGATGGCCAACAACGGGACTGGGACGTTGTAAGGGCACACGACGGTGTTAGTATAGTTGTCTTCAATACTAGTCGAAAGAAACTCGTGTTTGTTCGACAATTTCGTCCGGCCTTCTTCTATACATTCCTTCCGGAGAAACGTGGACCGGTGGACCTTAAACAGTATCCTCCAAAGTTAGGTTTGACCTTAGAACTATGTGCCGGTATTGTGGATAAAGACAAATCGCTTGCTGAAATAGCAAAGGATGAGTTGGAGGAAGAATGTGGATACGACGCACCGTTAAAGGCTTTTGAATATGTCATTACGTTCAGGTGTGTTAATAACAGAATATTATCTTGTTTTTAAATAAATTATGAACGTCTTGTGTAATTCGTAAAGTAAAAAATGTCAATGTTTCGTTCTGTGATAACGTGCATAAGTTGTCAATCGTTTGTATACATGTCATACCGTTTTTGTAATTGCATGCGTTTACTATTCTGTACATATGTATTTTGAGGGAAAATAAATAAACGTTTATGTTTTATAAAATACTGATTGTTTATTTTGTTTGTGGCTTGGTTGTAGGTACGTTTCTACTTCGGTCTGCAAGCATACACTCTTCTATGTGGAAGTTACGGATGAAATGCACACACATCCTGGTAAGCTATATCATAAACATAAATCTTTTCTTAATATTATACATAGAGATATATAGAATAAACTGATAACAATTAATAAAGTATTTACAAAAGTCCTTATCGTCTTTAAATGTGAGCAATTCGTGAAATTAAAGGAGGGGGTGCTGCGTCTGAAGGAGAACTGATTGAAGTGGTGGAACTAAGCATCCCAGAGGTAAAAGAATACATCAGTTCTGAGGAAGTAGAAAGCCCTCCATGTTTACTGTATGGTATAACCTGGTTCTTAGCTAACAAATACAAAAACTGTTAATATAAAATTAAATTCCTTGAACGTTTGTTTGAAATAAGTATTATTGATCAAATTCTAAATAAAAGGTTTATCCTTTAACTGAGTTTATTTACAAATAACACGTATGTACATAAGTGAATGTGAAAAAGATGTGTGATTAAGACTGGATGAATTTGCATAAACTAACATTGAGTTAATGTTCAGTCTCGTCTTTTGTGAATTGGGAGCTGACCCAAGCAAGGCCCCATTTTAAATTTGTCAATAAAAACTTTAATGCCTTTGTCCACTGTTCCTCTGAATTAAACTGAATTCTGAAACACAAGAAAGAAATTAGTAATCATTAGTAATCTAGATTACAGTAGTAATCTATATGAAACATACTTGATAGAATAGGAGTTGCCTGTAGCAGAATCCTCTATTTTACCGCGATCCATCCTATATGGGAGACAGAATCCACTATCCCCTTTTTCCACTTGTTCTTTGAATTGTTGTAAACAATCAAGAAATGCTACCATTGCTGCATCGAATTTTGTGTCCCACAGAAACTTAAATCCTCCACTTCCATACAAAGGTAGCTCTCTATGTTGGTCTAATGCTTCGATATAACTATGATTACCGAATGGTACTAAACGAAATCGTTTAAACGTAAGATTCATTTTTCTAGCAAGAGCCGTTAACAGCAAGGTAGTTTGTCCCCAAGCAGCGTTTATCTCGCTCCAGTCTACAGGTGCACTTGGCAATCTGCCTAAACGAAAGGAATTTATAGTTCCAAAATGTCCTGAATGCCAAATATGAAATGTGGCATTGAAAACATTTGTTTTCTTCAGTCTCTCTAGTTGTGAAGCTGCATAGGCTAATTGGCATTCCAAACTAAACAAATTATCAATGTTAATAAAAATGAACTATAAAAGATGCATCAAATGCAATAACATGTCATTATTACCTACGATACTCATCTTCCGCTAATATAAGATCTCTTTTATGCTTTGAATATTCCTTCCAATACCTTTCTTCTTCGCTTTGTAACCTCTCCCTTTCTCTCTCCTGTTGTGCTATCGCATTCCTAGTAGCAATTTCTTCTTTCCTTAAAGCCTCTAATTCACTAATCATTCGCTCCTCCTCTGATTTTACATCTTGTAACTCTTTCCTAAGACTTTCTAATTCTATATCCTCGTTTCCCTGTTGTTGTTGTTCTAACTCTAATTTTTTTAAGTATTCATTGTAGTCTGACCATTCTCCTTCAGTCATTCTTAATTGTTGATCCATTAATAATAAAAGACTATCCGTACATTCATCACAAAGTGGGTGATCGGCAGAGCTACTACTGCTAAGAATGTCAAACAATGTTGCTCGTACCTTAAAGAAAATAAGTTACATTAACATTTACAATAAATTGGCAAAGAAGATATCAAATACCTTTAAATGATGACTGAGACTTTCAGTTTCTCCAGAATCTCCAACTAGCATAAATCCATTAGTTCCATTTGCAGACTCGGTCAATCTGAATGGTGGAACTAAATGCTCCATACTACCGCTTTGTGGTTCTATTTCTCCTACCACTTGTTGTTGAATGGGAACTATCGCAAATAATGAAATCACTTAATTTATAACAATCATTGAAATATATAAAATATATGAAGAATCATAAGAAGTATATTAAACAGATGTAAGAACAAAGGAAGTCAATAATGTATGAATCTCTTGTCGTGCAGTTCATTAAAAGTGGAACACATTATCGGTGCTCTGAGAAAAAAGCAAAATGAATACCAAGATTTGTTATAAAATCATATTAGTTCGAAATAGAAATTACCTACGTGAAAGTTCAGCTAACGTGTGTTCCCCGAGATGATCCAAAAAACTTGGATCGAGCCTTAAAGGCTGCAAACATCGCTGACAGCAAAAACTCACGTTATTTTTCATATCTACCATTCTGACGTTTGGTTAATGAAAAGTAACTTTAGTCTACGACTAACTCGAACGCCACGTTATTTATAAATACGCATTTGACGCTTGGAAGCGATGGTCAGCTGATTTTACTTTTTCTAGGGTTCACTAGACGGCGTTACTGTTTGTATAGATTTTTTTTGTTCAGGAAATAAATTATTCGAACGCATTCGAAACAATGAGCGAAAGCTTCTAAATATGAATATAGCTACAAAATAATGTAGATATTCACAAATTAAATACAGTTCAAGTTATAAAATAACTCAATGTGTGCTTTAGTTACATTCAGAGTAGTAAAATTTTACAGTATTGAAAATTATAATGAGTGTCGTATGTTGACAAATTTAATAGTTTTATTAAAGATACATAAGTTTAAAATAATACGAGCAGTCAATTTTAATATTTTCCCAACTTTTGGATATCAGGAATGAGATCTCAACGCTTTCTATGGACAACCTTTAATAAGGATAACCTTTATTTATAAATGATTCATAATGACTCATAAATGATATAATTTGAAAATTAATATGTTTTATATTACATTATAATAATGAAATGTTATTTAATTATTTAATGTTCATTAAATGTACAGGTTGGTAAAAACTTATAAAATCATTCAATTATATACTTCAACTGCAGATGGCGTAAGGCATTGATCTAGCAGGTGCTGCACCCTAGCGACTACAAACCATTTAAAATTTTGCGTGCAATGTTCATAGTGTTATTACAAAATTCTGTTTCATTTTTACAAAATTAATATCACATAAACTGTAACTGAACTTCAAATATCACTTCTGTGTAATAAATAATTAAATTAATCATTTATCTTGTATTATTTTTTAATACATTATTTGTAACTCATTTGTTTGGATTTTCAGGTTACTTTGGCTACCATCGTCATCAAACATGGAGGAAGGAGTTTGCAGTCATTGTAACACAAACAGCGACCTAATATCTATAAATAAGAAGACTCCGTTGCAGAATCGTTTCAGTCTATTTCATATTTCATTGCGAAACAGTACATTTATTCTATTGCATATATTATTTCATGTTACTCAGGCACTTCTTTAAACAAGGACAGACATAGGACAGCGTTGTCAGTTATTTGCGTATAGTTAACCTTATTGGTTTTTACTTGTTCCTTATTTATGTGTGGCCTTATTTGTCCATAATTAATATCATTAGTCTATATTTAGTCTTATTTGCCTATATTTGTCCGTGTTTGTCTATATATGTCCTTGTTCGTTATTCTTTATTTAGAAAGTTCTAGAACTTCATATGTGAAGAAAAGCCTAAGCCGCAATCGTTCGATCGACATTTTTGTATATTCGCATAAATATCGGAAACTAGGCAACGATCAACAGGTAGCTCCGTTCGTCGTCCTTGCGATAACTTAAGTTTCACGGACATACGATCGTCACATAATGTAACTATAACGCAATTATACTAAACTTTCGTACCACTTTGGGATACGCTTTGTACGCCACGCTAACAGCGGCGTCTATTGTCTCCTTGTCTAGTGGATACAATGAATTATTATGCAAGTGTTTCGTTAGTTCCCTCTTGCATCGCGATCGCTTGAGTAGCGCGACGAATCGCTGACTCAGCTGTGTCAATCATTTCGGTAACATCAATTTCCACGGTTGGCTTCAGACGAACCGCATAATAGGCAATTTAAGGTTATACAGGCACCTGTGATCCCCTCCTATATACGATTTTAATGTATTACATATGTCAGAAGTTGAGCGCGTATTAAGGGAATTAGAATTTTTACATATTCCATTTCATAAAATGCAATGCTCAGTGACTGGAGTTCCTTCCTAGGGAACATTATGCAGAGTAGTTCAAGTCACAACTTAGATATTTAAGTTTTGTCGAAGTTCCAGTAATTCAAAATGGTCGACAATTTTTATTCTTGAGATGGGTTTATACTAGGCAGGTGCAATAGACAAGTTTATCTAAAGATAGTATACGTTGTAACTAAAAGCGCTAACTCAGAAAAGTGTACCAAGTACTTCTGGTCTGCAATAGACTCAAAATATTAGATCTATCCACAATGTTCAGAAAAGTGTACCAAATACTTCTGGTCTCCAGTAGAAACTATTAGATCTATCCACAATGCCCAAAAATTTGCAGCGAAGCAAAAGTGGGCTATCGAAAATTCTTTGCGACGTCCTTGCGTGATAATTTGTAACCCCGTGGCAAACTTGGGAGCACGATTATTCGTGTCATCAAGGAGCTCCGATCGGGTGGTTGCAGTATGCGTGTGTCGTATCGCGTGGGTGCCCACGTAGAGGGTGTTCCGGAGGAGCCCTCAGCGAGAGAGAGAGAACCTCGAGAGAGCGATAAGAAGCTGAAAAGAGAGAAGAAGCAAACTCGGAGAGGGCGAAGAGGGGAGGGAGAGACAGTTGGTCCGTGGGGAGAGAAGCATAGGGTGGGCGTCGACCGTTTTAAGCGGAGGAGTGCCGTTGGAGCCGATGGGAGCGAAGACCGTTGAGTTTGAGGCGAGCTGAGTGAAGCGCGGGCGTCACGACGACGTCGGTATCGTGGCTGGTCTCCGCCAATCCGTCCCTCAGCGGCCATGTTGCTCGTGTACCTGGGGCGGAGCGCGGTACCACCGTCTGCGACCTCTCTCTCTCTCTTTTTACTCCGAGTAAACTCTTCCTCTCCTTCACCTCCTTCTTCGTGGACGACCCGTGTCCTCGACTTCTTCTTGTCTTCTCCGGCTCTTTTTCTTTTATCTTCGCATTCCTTGTTCCTCTCGTTCGAGTTCGCGTTACGCTTCTTCGGGGCCAAACCGTCGCACCCGTACTGCACCTGTGACCGCTGACGTAACCTGGATGGTATCTTGGGACCGCGACCCCTTTTACCGTACCGAGAACTGCTTCCTGCTCGCTGATTCTGCAGGCGAATTCGTCGTTTTGTGCGAGATGCTTGCTCATAAGAAAGTAGATAATAGGGACTTTAGACTCTGTTTTTGACTATTGTGAAAGAGTAGAGAGGTGGAATTATGTAGGAAAATGGCGATGAAGTTTGATCATTCGAATGTAATAGATCGAGTTAAGGTCGCCCACTTAACAACGCAGTACCTGAATAACATCAGTCACATTCCTATTATTAATGTACTGTGCATACTCTACCAGATGAGCTATACTTTCCCTGCTTTCCAAACTGACTGATGCAAATAATTTACTCCTGGTGAAAATGTGTCTGTTCAAATGTATGTGTGATTTTCAACTGTATTTTTTTTCGTGGTTCTATTAGGACTCATATCGTATCTCAGCGAACCGATGAGAGTATCGATGTTATACCTTTTACTATGTTATACTGATATTTATACTATACATGTATACAGTTGCGAGAATGTATCAAAGTTACGGTACCAGTTGTTTTAAATGGACTTTCATGTGGAGCTAGTTTAGGTCGACTCCAGGTGAATGTATAGGTTGAAATTTGGAGTGTAAGGAACGTAAAGTGAAGTTGCAATACTAATACCGAATTGAAAGCAACGTTTCCTTAATTGATTCGTAAGCAACGAACGGAATTCTCATGGAGCATGAACGCCACCATGCGTACGGAACGTTTACGTCCTATAATTGCATCGGTGCACGGCGGGACTATACGTTCGTGCAATTATCCCGGGGACCCTTTCGGCCGGCGGTAAGATCTATGGGACAGTTGACGCGGTCTCGAAGGCGAAATACAATCGCGCCGGCGGCCGCGACTTCGGAGCCGGCAATTACACGCGATTCGCGTAATCGTAAAACGAAACGTTAAGCATGGAGTTGTTATTTCCCCGAGTCGACGCGAAACGTAGCCGGTAACGCGGCGTAAATCAACCGCCACCTAGACGACCATACAGGGAAACTCGAGTGGCCGAGCATCCTAGCATAATTGCCCGGTGTCCACGTTGCGGAATAATTCATTCTAGCCTTCTCTCTGTGCACCCTGTTCAACGAACTCCGTGAACCTTTGAAAAAACACCACGTCTCGTAAAAGCGGTATACAAACCGCGAGAGATAAGAATCATAATCAGATCATGTGACATCGCGTAACGACAAAACCATAAACATAGACCGTTCAGGCTATCTTGGAATGTTAACCATTAATATATTGAACTATCAACCGTACGTACGGCGATTTTATTATTATTTTAACGTGAGCTGCCGGGAAAATGTATGGCAGAGCTGGTGCAGATAGGGGCTTGCATGTGGAGTATACTTGGTCTGAGCTACGACCAAGATATTTTTTGATAGAGAAGAGATTAGGATACTTGCTTTGAGTTAGGTATACTTGGTCTAACGATACCTAGTTTGAATGATGACCGAGATGTTTCTTAATAGAAATGAGATTAGGTGCAAGTACACTTGATTCGAGCAAATGGACTTCATTTAAGTAACATTTTGAAAGCTAACGTTCGGATTCTAAATTTTAAATAGAACTAACGAATTATTTTACTGATATATATTATACAAGATGTGCATATTATACTGCATAAAATGTGTATATCGTTAACGGAATGTTTATTTGAGAAAATTATTACTGGATCAGTAAGAATGTAATACAAGAGTAAATTTGTGTTACTCGAGCACGGATGATCAACGCGTGCAACGATCAAAGTATTATTCGCTTATTTTTCAGTAAATATTGTTTTCGAAAAGTGGTAAATAAAAGTTGTCGAAATTCCTTAAAACGATGAGTCAAACGTAGAGTTGTTTTGCGATACAATGGGCGGGGCTAGAATGTTTCATTTGTTCGGTTTCGAGTTAGCCTTTTCTGGTCGTATATCAACGCCTTTCCACAAACAGAGATAATACTAAATGATATTTATAATTCTATTATCAATGCGACGCCGAGATTTCGGTGCATCACGTGGATTCCGATAAGACCTGTTTCAGCCAGGCTGAGATATTGAAAAATATGATACATTCGTGTATCATAAAGTATCATTGAAGCGAGCTTAAAACTGTGGAGTCGCAATCAGGAAATATGTTGCAAAATTTTACAACACAGGTTTTTGAGGGATCAAATTTAACGTGGATGTGTTATTAGTGGTAAATGTTTTGTAAAATAGATAAGTGATCAGCACATATGAATAGCAGTTTAGATATAACGGTACATATGTGTAGTTTGAAGATTATGAATATGACAGTAGACATTTTGTTCTATACAACTCTACAGTTTTATCTGGTAATTTTCTCCTAATATACAAGTTTGTTCTTAACTGCATCCCTCATAAAATAAATTTGTGTATAATACACCCAGTAATATCCATTATTTAAAATACTAACAAATTGTTTAAATTTTACATAAAACTGATAGTTTTTGCATTGATCGGTACCGGCCATTTTGTGTCGACATTCTATAATAAATATTGACCAGTTACATATATTGATTAAAAATAGTGACCCAGTAAACAACAGCGTATGTACACTAGAATATAATACAAGAAAATGCAAAAAAAAGTAATGAAATTGACAGAAAGTAAAAAACGTGAGTTAATGAAATTTTCAACAGCTTAACCTTTTAGTAAGATTTCTCGTTTGCGAAAGAGGAAAGGTATGGTTATGAGACGGCATTGCGATTTCCATATAAATACATCAATTTTTGTCGCCTCCGAAGCCGTTCGGGTCGTATTAAAGTCGTTATGGAACGTCATTAACAGCGAAACACGATGTTCGAACGATGCTTTTGTAATTTAGTATGGTAGCCACTCGGAATGCGCCGGTCCGCCGCTCGAAACCGTTGGTGTTTGCGTAACCCGACAAAATATACAGATCGAATTCGGAGTGATTTGTTTTCTTTGCCGTTAGAAATTTTGTTCGTCCGTCTAGGTGGCTACCGGGTGAAAATAAACATTTTTCCAGGCTTTTTCGCCCCGTGTACACCGTCACTGTACGTGCACACGTACACGCATTCGCGTATATACACGCGTCGACGCACGCGTCAAATAGTTGGAAACAGCCAGGCCAACGCATCCATCTTCGAGCTATTATCTCCTACATAACTCATCTGTTTTTCCCATCAGCCAAATTGCTGTTCCGCTCGAAATCGACCTATCTCGCTCCCGTTCCTCCTCTCTTCGTTTTCTCTCTATTCTGTCAAAAACTGCCGCTTTTTTTTACATGGATGACTTACGACTCGGAAAACTTGCCCGAAATTCTGTGATTTATGAAACGAGTAAAAAAAAGAAACGCTACCGGCGTGTTTTTCGCGGAAATTTCGACGTTACGTCGCGAAATGTCGCTGCAACTTGTACGTTCTTGTGGAGAGGGTTACGATCATAAGAGTGCGATAAGCTTTGGGTCCCAAGCTGTAATTCATTGCGAGATCCGCTACGGTTTAAAGACTTTATAAGTTTGATTTATTATAATTTTCTTATTACTGGAAGGGGACTTGTGACGTGTTGAACGGTGTACTAAACATAAATCATAAATACAATTTTATTATTTGAGTAATACTTGAAATTGTGGATTTGGTTAGGTTAGATCAGATCAGATTTTTAGGTTAAGAATAAACAGATAAAATCATACATTGTGCTTCAGTCTCATTCGTCACAATGATCGCTAATGACGATATCGATGCATATGATCGATAATGTTTCTTAATTGTCGATATTTATCGATGATGTTATCGGTGATAGTAACGTTACGTAGAATTGATGAGTAACAGTAAATGTGAGGTCACATTAATTTTTAAAGTGAAAGACTCGGTAGAAAAGAATATCTTCATACAACCATATCTCAATAAATGTTTAATAAATATTCAATAAATGAATATTTTAATGTTCCTAAATTCGAGTACCTCAAATGTCGAATATGTCCATGCACTCACATATGTGCTCCACTGATCCTAAATTGGAAGATCTCCACATTCGAGTATCTCGAATCTCCAGTACCTTCATACACCTACACCTCAATAAATACTAGAATGATTCTACACTAAAATGATCCTAAACTCGAATACCCTGACTCTCGAATATTATACACCCATCTTCCAATACTCAAACACCTAAATTCCCAAATAACCCTATTCTCCCATATCCTTCCAAATTCCCACATATGTCATATCTCCCACATATTCCCATCACAAGTCTCGAATATCATCCACATCGCAGTACCTACATATATACCCAAATCCTAAAGATCCACCATTTTGCAAGAAGTTCCCAGGGTTTCCCTGGTCCTGGACGCAGGAACGTCATCGGCAGGGATCGGAAGCAGAAGAGATCCTGGCTCGATCCGTTCGCGGCGGGGATGCTCCGAATTCCGAAAACCGAGACCGTGCTCCTCGTGGGCGGATCGTGGCCCATAAATACCTGTGGTGTAAACACGAGTCGTCGAATGTTTGGCCAGCCTGGGCTCAACCAACCGTGCCACGGATTCGATCGTCTGATGTAAACCCTTTGGTTAAATAAACCGGCCAGCGTTTCTTGCGCGTGGATTCGGACGCGGGCAATCACGCGCGAATTAGGGTTTGTTCAAATGACGAGTGTGCCGCGAATCTTTTTAATCTATAATACTAGACTAAGTTTGATTAGATTAGATTAGATTGACTATACTGTTTAGTACTGTACTGTTTAATACTGTTAAATATTATAATATACTGTTTACGACTGTTTAATACTGTACTATACTGTTTAATATTATACTGTTAACAGTGTATTATATTGGTGAATACTATACTATTTCATCCTGTATAGATAATACATTTACTGCAATACAGTCTTCAGTGTTAATTATTATACACATACTTTCTAATTACATATATGAAACTATTATACATACATTTACCAGTTATTATAATATAACCTTCATAAAACCAATATGTACATGAATTAACACCTTAATGTATAACTCACATATGATATACATATATGATATCATAAGATGTGACGTTAGACAACTACTCCACATATGAGCTACCACTTTTATTTTATATATTGTCAACCTATCATATATTTCTAGGATATGACACTTTAATGTATGCCTCGCATATGATGTACATATGTGACGTCATCCATAGGAGTTACAATAAGACAAATGCTCCAGATATGAGCTACCACTTTTATTTCATATGTATTGACACCTCTAACCTAACTCTTTATTGTGTACTGTGAATATGGTTGTTTTATGACATATGTATAATACACATATCATATATGACATGTATCATATGTATCATATGTATCATACTGTTTGTACCATATGTATCATAGTGTTGTCTAAACATGTATTCTCTATCCTTTGCTTTTGAGTGCGTCTTCACGACGCACTTATAGTTCATACGTGACAAATCTTACTTAATCATATGTGATCATATGTGAAAAATTTTGTTTAATGACGTCTTTCGAGTACAAAGTCAATATGCTTGAATAAAGATGAACATGCTGACAAATAAATGAAGAGTTTAAAACAACCTAAAAGAAGCGTAATAATATAAAGTTATGCTCCCATATTTTTGAGACGGATTAAAATTTTTGAAATGAGTTTGGAAGAAGTTAATTTTCTGAAGCGGGACAAGCGATCAGAATATGAAGTTTAATCGTCGGATAGAGGACGTACGATATAGGTTTTATAAAATCTTGTTCAGCTTGATACCTGCTTTGAGACTGTTTGCCAGCCATTCTCGATTCCTTTCATCCTTTGCCCGCCCACCTCGCTCCCACTGCGAAGATTAAACATCGCTCGCTGGAAATTATACGCGGATCGTTTTATCAAACTGGCTGAAAGTTGGTGAACGCGTGTGCCTATACGCGGCTCGTCTCCCGCGCTCGTAGCCGACTCTAGTGCAAACAAGTGGAGCAGATAGTGGCACGGTAGCAACGTCAAGAGATTAGGATTTGTTTTACAGCGAGCGGTAAAGCTGTCGCGAACTCCGCTGCCGTATTTAAACTCGGCCGTCCCCTCTACGAATGCGTCGGGAATCCGACTTCCAATTACGTCTTTACGAAAAACCTTAAACTTTTGAACGTAATGTTCTTATCAATATGATAATCGACTCGTGGTACGAGTCTTGACATTTTTTAACTAATTTTCAAATTTTCTAGTTTCAAAATTCTCAAACCTCCAAAACTCTAGTTGTAAAATTAAACCCTCAATCTCATTAATCCTTAAATTCCCGAGACCCAAAATTAAACCCCTAAATTTCCATATTACTATAATCCATATCCACCCATAACAAAAATCTAAAATTCTAAAGCGAAGATTTCTTAATGAAAGTCACCTCAGATATTCTAGAAATGCAAGAATAAAGGTTCGCCGCAGGAAGAACCGACTTTAATGTCCGACAACGATCCCAACGAATAATGAGCCGGCCCGCGATAAAACGCGAGAGATGTAGAACGTAAAAGTATATCGCGTCGCCGGAAGGTTATTCCACAACTGAGAAAACACAATTAAGAAGCAATGAAAATAGACGCGTGGCGCAAGGGGGTGCGTCACGTCGACACGTCTGCCGAGCGCAAACATTGGCGTGGCCGTCTACGTTTCCGATGCAGCTGGTGCCGAGTGTCATACGTCGAAACGAACCGTTTCGAATCGAAACCGTGTATCCGTACGTTTATCTTACACAGGTGAACGAACGTAATATACGTCCTCCGTACGCTCGTTAAGTCCCGAGAACCAGCGAAACTCGCTTAACCCCTTGTCTCCCTGCGACGCCGACTGCTCCAACTAAATCCATAAACTGAAATTAAAATGTACTTGTAGAGTGAATTTGCAATTTTTAACTTTTAGTCGATGTATTTTGATGGTGAAATGATAGCTGAGTATTGTGGGTATACGTGTTAGTGGATTTCATATTTAAATTTCGCGCCAAATTGTATTAGAGAAGATGGAGGTTAGAAGATGTAGAGTGGGTAGGAATACTTAATATTTTTTTGGAGGTTATGATTAATATTTTTATATATTCAAATCTCTACACATTCATAGATTAATAAATCTACAATTTATCTCACAAATATATAGATACCTACGTATTTATCTAAATTTCTGTAATATCTAAGTTCTTATACTAACAAGTTTCAGTATAAATGGGATCACTACATGTTCTGTACTGCATGCATATGTATTATATATTCTTATATACTCAACGCTATAATAATTAAACATACAGTATTACACTCTCCTTATATTGTTGATTAAGCAATCTCAAGTCCTTCACCTAGACTGTATAAGGATACCACAATCTATAAAAGCTGAATGAATTCTTTCTATTATAAATAATAAAAAATTATCCCTTCTCATAACCCCGTCAGCAATATAAAAAGAGTCTGTACTTGTAAAATAAGCAAACCTATTTTTATCATTGAATATTTGTTATATCACCTTTGTCACACCACACAATAAGTATCCAATTTTCCACGACAATAAAGAACATCGATATTCAAGATTAATTCCGAAATTATTCACACAAAGGGTTAAATATCCGATTAAACGACACCTTGCCGTTCGGAGAAGAACATACTGGTCCCAGGATGTATCTGATCGTGAGTCAAGCAAGGTCAGCTGCGTGTCGCAACAAAAAAATGGGCGAAGAGGTCAAAGTGGATCCTGGGCCAGGATGACAGGTGCAGCCGGCACCTGCCAGGATTTAAGACGCGTCACCGATCGATCGACGTCGACCTACCTAAAGTCGCGTGCAACCATAAGTTGCGGTCACCTTGTATCTTTAGGGCGATCTGCTTACTTTTCTCGTGAAATGGTATGCTTTCTTTTTTTCGTTCATTTTTACCATGGAAGACATGCTCTAGGTTCTACGAAAGTATACTTTCATTTTATTACACTAGGTAATTTTAGTACAGTAGTACAGTAGGACCTAATTTAGATACCTATGTGTATACTTTTAGGTTATTGTGTTTTTAGATGTTTGCATGTTTTTAAATTATATTGGTAGATTTCTAGATTTGTGTATTTTTATGTAAGCTGCAGGTCGCTTCAGATTTCTATGTCTTCAGGTCTTCATATATTCACATCTCTATGTCTAGATCTCCATTCAGGTACATCTCCAATTATACATACAGTCAGATCTTATATTAGCCAAACACCTACACAGTTACTTGTATGCATCAAATTCATGTAAGTCATAATAGCTGATATAATCCATGTAAGCCTGTAAGATCCATAATATCCAAAACCCCACATAGTCAAATCTTCATATACCACCTAGATGTGGTGTATGTTCCCTAGTCAGCTATACACATCACATCCACATCACATGTAGCCAGATCCCTATATGTCCAAATACATATGTAACATATATTTCTGTCGGTATACAAAGTTTGAGTCTCCCAAGTTCTACATATCAAGTTCACATACGTATATATGAATGTATACCCTAACTGCATCATAGGTGTAATCGAACATTTCTTATATCATCAAATCTTATCAAACTACCCAATCCAGTATGTAAAAATCTATCTATCGTATGCTAATACAAATAACATTGAATCGTCGAAAGTTCATGAATCGCGAAATGAACCATGAATGAATTTGAAATCGATGAAAATGCGGTTTTTCGTGAAAACCTAAACGAATCAAGACGCTCGACAATCACAAGATTACGTGTGTGTACACACGCGAGTACGCTCGAAGCCGCGTCTCCACCCCGAGTCGGCAAAACCCCTTTCCAGAGATGAAATATGTGAGACGGGACCGCCTCGCGGGATAATTCTGAATTATGTTTGTCCTCGTCAGTTCCGTCGCTTCCAGTGAATCGCGTGCTCTCCACCACGGCTTTGTCAGACTCTGCGCGGGACCTTCGGGTCACCAGAGTCCTCCCCCGTGTCTTCCACCTTTCGATTCGTTCCCGATCCGTCTACACGCCGAACAGAAGAATGCGCATCTTTGATCCTAACTCCTCGCTCCTCCGCCCTCTTTCGCCTTCTTTACGCTCGAATATTTTTGGAAATTCGTCGACGAGATGCCGACCGATCTCGAGGTATTTCCAGTGATAAATATCGAGATGCTCGATCTTGTGTTCGTCTTTTTTCGATGGTCGTTAATCTAACGGGCGTCGTTACTGTTTGAGTGTTCTTTGTGGTGTGGGTGGAGATGGTCTGATTTTTAGTGGAAGTTTTGGAGTTTTTTTTTTAATGAAAATTTAGATTGATGGTAAGGTGCGTGGGTACATGTGTGAGCGTATAACATGGTGACATGTGAGCGAATTTATGAATTTTCAAGTAAGGAAATTTTTTAATTTTGAAGTTACTAAGTGTTAAGATTTGCAAATTTATATGTTTCCACATTTTCACTTTTAAATAACTTTTTAAATTTTTGTAGTTTCAAATTTTTTAATTTCCAAGGGCTCAGATTCTTAAGTTATTAAATTCTTAAATTTTCAAATCTCCAAATTTCCAGATTCCTGAATCTCAAAATCCCTAAATTTAGAATTCCACAATTTCTCAAATTCTCAAATTACAGACCAAATTTATTAAGTCTCTAAATTTCCAAATTTCCAAATTCTCAAATTCCCAAATTCCCAAATTTCCAAGTCCCCAAATTCCCCAAATCTCCAAATGATCAAATTTCCAAATTCCTTAAATTCCTCAAATTCCCCAAATTCCCTAAATTTCCCAAATTTCCTGAATTTTCCAAATTCCGCAAATTCCCTAAATTTCCCAAATTCTCCAATTTCTCC